ACTAGGAGTCAGTCAGGTGTGAGGGGCGGTACTGGGAGTCAGTCAGGTGTGAGGGGCAGTACTAGGAGTCAGTCGGGTGTGAGGGGCGGTACTAGGAGTCAGTCAGGTGTAAGGGGCGGTACTAGGAGTCAGTCAGGTGTGAGGGGCAGTACTAGGAGACAGTCGGGTGTGAGGGGCAGTACTGGGAGTCAGTTGGGTGTGAGGGGCGGTACTAGGAGTCAATCAGGCATGAGGGTGTGCTACTAGGAGTCAATCAGGTGTGAAGGGCGGTATAGGAGTCAAGCAGGTGTGGGAGCGGTACTTGGAGTCAATCAGGTGTGAGGGGCGGTACTAGAAGTCAGTCAGGTGTGTGGGGCGGTACTAGGAGTCGGTCAGGTGTGTGGGGCGGTACTAGGAGTCAGTCAGGTGTGTGGGGCGGTACTAGAAGTCAATCCTAGTACCACACCCGCCCCTCAAATTGTTTTCTGTGTATTGTCTGGATTGCTCTTTGGTTTGCGTGTATTGTCACAATTCGTTTCCCATGTACTGCAACAATTGTGTGAGGGGCAGTACTAGGAGTCAGTGAGGTTTGAGGGGCGGTACTAGGAGTCAGTCAGGTGTAAGGGGCGGTACTAGGAGTCAGTGAGGTGTGAGGGGCGGAACTAGGAGTCAGTCAGGTGTGAGGGGCGGTACTGGGAGTCAGTCAGGTGTGAGGGGCGGTACTAGGTGGCAGTCAGGTGTGAGGGGCGGTACTAGGAGTCAGTCGGGTGTGAGGGGCGGTACTAGGAGTCAATCAGGTGTGATGGGTGGTACTAGGAGTTAATCAGGTGTGATGGGCGGTACTAGGAGGTAGTTAGGTGTGAGGGGCGGTGCTAGGAGTCAGTCAGGTATGAGGGGCGGTACTAGGAGTCAATCCTAGTACCACACCCGCCCCTCAAATTGTTTTCAGTGTATTGTCTAGATTGCTCTTTGGTTTGCGTGTATTGTCACAATTCGTTTCCCATGTACTGCAACAATTGTGTGAGGGGCGGTACTAGGTGGCAGTCAGGTGTGAGGGGCGGTACTGGGTGTCAGTCAGGTATGAATGGCGGTACTAGGTGGCAGTCAGGTGTGTGGGGCGGTACTAGGAGTCAGTGAGGTGTGAGGGGCGGTGCTAGGAGTCAGTCGGGTGTGAGGGGCGGTACTAGGAGTCAGTCAGGTGTGAGGGGCGGTACTAGGAGTCAGTCAGGTGTGAGGGGCAGTACTAGGGGTCAGTGAGGTGTGAGGGGCGGTACTAGGAGTCAGTCAGGTGTGAGGGGCGGTACTCGTTGTACTCACTGTCTCTCCTCATCCCCACGTCCAGGCACTTCTGTAGCCGGCACGCCTGGCACCGCCTGCGCTTGGCTTTGTTCACCGGGCAGGACCGCGTGAACGGACAGGTGAAGTTTAACGCTTTGCTCATGGAACGCCTGCGAGGTATAAAAGAAAAAAACAATCAGTAAATATTTTAAAGCGAATCTCTAGAAAAAGCATTTTTTTTTAAGTTTTGGATAGCTTGGGGGAGGGTTAGACCCTCTGTCAGGTTTTTATTGCTGTGTCCCCGTTGGGTAGGTTCCCTCTCGGTTTGTACTGGGGGACAGTACACGGGGTTCAGATATGTTTCGATGTGTAACTTTGTATTTGGCGACTCGGGAACTGCATCCCCGCTGGAGAGAATTCCCTTCACTTCCTGTCTTGGTGACACAACAGGAAGTGAGAGAAAATCTCCCCCAAAGCCACTTGAGGGCTTGCAGCATTGGCATTACCTGAAGAAGCCTTTGCAGCCCTCGCAGGTCAGGACATGGAAGTGATACCCGTTGGCCCTATCACCACACACGGCGCAGAGCTTTTCCTCTGCATCGGGGTCCTCGCTCTCTCCCGTCCTCAGGCTCAAGATGGACGTCGCTACTGAGCTGCAGCTGCTGTTGCTGTCCTCCTCAAACACCGAGTACATGGAGGGACTCCAGTCCTGCTGGAGGCTTGACCCGTTCAGGTCCTGGCAGTTCATCTCTGACCTGAGAGCAGGGGAAAAAAATGGAGGCTTAAAGTGTGTGTCACAATCCAATTGTTACAATACACGAGCAACAAAGGAACAATCTACATAATACACAAGCAACAAAGTGACACCGAAAAAAACACGGGCAATTGTTACACAACATGGGAAAGGAACGGGCAATTGTTACACAACATGGGAAAGGAACGGGCAATTGTTACATAACATGGGAAAGGAACGGGCAATTGTTACACAACATGGGGAATGAACGGGCAATTGTTACACAACATGGGAAAGGAACGGGCAATTGTTACACAACATGGGAAAGGAACGGGCAATTGTTACATAACATGGGGAATCAACTATCAATTGTTACACAACATGGGGAATGAACGGGCAATTGTTACACAACATGGGAAAGGAACGGGCAATTGTTACACAACATGGGCAATCAACTGTCAATTGTAACAGTACATGGGAAACAAACAAGCCCGTGTTACAAAACATGGGAAATAAATGGGCGACGGTTACATAGAGCGGGAAACAAATGAGAAATCATGACAATACATTGGCAGGCAAATGTGCCAATACACGGAAACAAACTGTCAATTATAGCAAAACATGGACTAATGTGCAAAGGCAATCTTTACAATACATGGGCAACAAACAGGCAATCCGGACAATACATGGGCAACAAACAGGCAATCCGGACAATACATGGGCAGCAAACAGGCAATCCGGACAATACATGGGCAGCAAACAGGCAATCCGGACAATACATGGGCAACAAACAGGCAATCCGGACAATACATGGGCAACAAACAGGCAATCCGGACAATACATGGGCAACAAGCCAACATTTGTTGCAGTAAAACAAATGGGCAAAGGCTACACAATATAGGAAACAAATGAGCAATCATTACAATACATGGACAACCAAAGAACAATTGTGAAACTACATAGGCAACAGATGGGCAATGACTACAATACATGGGCAACAAACGGGCAGTCCTAACAATACACAGGAAACAGATGGCCAATCGTGACAATACATGGGCAACAAACGGCCAATCATGACAATACATGGGCAACAAATGGGCAGTCCTAACAATACACAGGAAACAGATGGCCAATCGTGACAATACATGGGCAACAAAACTGGCAAATATAGCAATACATGGGCCACAAACAGGAAACAAGCCGGGCATAGCTACAATACGGGGGTAAATCAGATGGGCAATGACTACAATACATGGGCAACAAACGGGCAGTCCTAACAATACACAGGAAACAGATGGGCAATCGTGACAATACATGGGCAACAAACGGCCAATCATGACAATACATGGGCAACAAATGGGCAGTCCTAACAATACACAGGAAACAGATGGCCAATCGTGACAATACATGGGCAACAAATGGGCAGTCCTAACAATACACAGGAAACAGATGGCCAATCGTGACAATACATGGGCAACAAAACTGGCAAATATAGCAATACATGGGCCACAAACAGGAAACAAGCCGGGAATAGCTACAATACGGGGGTAACAAACGGGCACTTGTCACAATACACAGGAAACAAATCGGCAATGATAACAATACGTGGGCAACTAACAGGAAACCTTTACAATATGCAGGAAACGAACCGGACAATCGTAGAACTACACAGGCATCAAATGGGCATTCTATTGTTCTTCACAATGCCCAACGTCGTGTTGCCGGCTGATGAGGGTCCGCTCTTGGCACAGGGTCCAGAATAGGGGAAAGGAGCTTCCGTAACCTTCGGAAGCCATTTAAAGCCCATTACCCCCTTAACACCTCTTTGAACCACCTTCAGCTCGCCTTCCCCTTCAACTCTAATTACAATTGAAAAATTTTGCCAAAATTTTCCCAAATTTTCCAGTGCAGTGAACCCGGACAGCTTGGCTTGCCTAGTGCCAGATTCTCCCTCTTGCCTGTATCCTGGTCCGGACTCCTGAACCCTCCGCCTCTTTATTTTTAGGACGCAGGTGCAGGCGGCCGTCGGCGCTGTGTGTACATTGATGGGCGGCCTTGACGTCACCCCGTATGTCTGTTTTTAGCTTGCGGAGTATATGTGACACAGCCGGATAAACATTTACTACGGCCGCTGTTTACATCGGGCCGCGCCGTGACCTTTGGCCCCAGCCGTGGTTGAACAAATGCGCATGAGTCAGCTGTGAGGAATGCCGCGAGCAATGCCGCTAGACAGTCATGCTATTAAAGGGCAACGCTTACAGTTAAGTCATATATGTCTATATATATATATATCATATAAAACACCCAACGCGTTTCGGGGCCACAAGCTCTCCCTTCCTCAGGGCTATAAAAGAGTACAAGTGTCACTGCAGTTACATGATAGTATACTATTATATTGGGTGATATCAATTCAACTCTTGTTGTGGCCCTGGATGAAGTGGGAGCTTGTGGCCCCTGAAACGAGATGAAGTGGGAGCTCATAGCCCCCGAAACGCGTCGGCTGCTTCATGTGACCTTGCTATTAAAGTAACTGGGCTTTTGATCTTTCGGCTTATGCTAGTCTTCAGCCGTCTCTTTTTTTGGAACACTGACGGGGAAGACCCCACAATGAGCTGTCCCCCTCCTATAAAACCCACCAAGCCCCTCCCCCCTCAGCCATCAACTGCCACAGCAGCCTTTTTCGCAAGCCTGATTGCAGCTTCCAGCTGGTGTGTATAAGATTTCAGGAGATTTATTTCCGGCTGTTTGTCAGCCGGAAGATATTTTTTTTGTCCCTTCCTGCACACCAGCTGTAAGTTAAAATCCGCCAGCTGCTGCGAAAAGAGGATGAAGAGACAGAAAATGACGGACAGAATATGCAATCTTTTGTAGAAGATCCCAAGGCTTTAAATCAGGGGTAGGCAACCTCGGCAACTACAAATCCCATCACGTCTCTGCCTCTGGGACTCTGGGTGCATGTGTCCTGCAGTGCCTCAGTGGACTTGTAGTTTCAAGTAGCTGGGGTTGCTGAAGCTGGGACTTGTAGTTCTATAACAGCTGGAGTGCTCAGCTTGCCTAACCCTGGTAGTGAGAAAGGGCGGGGCTTAGCAGGCCTGACTCAGTAGGTGGGGTCTATGTCACAACTGCCCCGAGGAGATGTATAGGGAGCAAGTGTGTGTATCAGGGGGCGGAGCTATGAGAAATCATTGCGGAGGGTTATAAATGGTGGGAAACTGTGCACAAAAACGGGCAAATCCCGGCGGTCGTTATGGCAACTCTGAACAAAACAAGAAATGGAATTCCCCTTTAATCTTTTTCTTTGGCGCAGGTCGGCGCTCATGAAAAATGGATGTCGAAGCGCGGCATCCGATGAGTGGTGGTAATGGCGTACATAAACGGTAGCGGGCAGGCGGCAGCCCTCCAGAATGTTACTTTCACATCTAATGCAATTTTAAATACCGCCGCTCCATTCCCCCCGGGGGGAGGAGCAGCCATGCTCTGCCGGAGTTTTCTGGGTCATCATGGATTCAGCATCAACCCCCCTCCCCTCCCCACCCCCCATTCCTGAAGGCAGAACAGGACGCTGCATATTCAGTGCGGAAAATCGGTGCGTTCAGGATTCCGGATGGCTGCGCCGTGGCAGCTCTCACCAGGAGGATTCGGCTATCTTGAAAAAAATATATATTTTTGTTAATTGGAATTTTCATTGAATTAGGATTTTTTTTGTATGTGAACGGTGACCACGTACGTCCCCTGTGGTCGTAGACCACAACCCTCCCCATGAAGAGTGTGGCTTCCTGTTATGTCTGTGGGACTCTGCCAGGTGCATGCGGATAGATTCACAGCTTAGTGCTTGTGGGCTGCAGGCAGGAGGAAGCATTTCCTCAGTCTGCCCTCTCCCAAGTGATCAGTCTGCTGCAGGCAGGAGGAAGCATTTCCTCAGTCTCCCCTCCCCCTGTGATCAGACTGCAACATTGTAACATCTGAAAAGAATATAAGAGGGTAACTGGTGACATCCATAAAGGATACAGGAACTGGTGACATCCATAAAGGATACAGGAACAGGTGACATCTATAAAGGATATAAGAACTGGTGACATCCATAAAGGATATAAGAACTGGTGACAGCCATAAAGGACATAAGAACTGGTGACATCCATAAAGGATATAGGAACTGGTGACATCCATAAAGGATATAGGAACTGGTGACATCCATAAAGGATATAGGAACTGGTGACATCCATAAAGGATATAGGAACTGGTGACATCCATAAAGGATATAGGAACTGGTGACATCCATAAAGGATATAGGAACTGGTGACATCCATAAAGGATATAGGAACTGGTGACATCCATAAAGGATATAGGAACTGGTGACATCCATAAAGGATATAGGAACTGGTGACATCCATAAAGGATATAGGAACTGGTGACATCCATAAAGGATATAGGAACTGGTGACATCCATAAAGGATATAGGAACTGGTGACATCCATAAAGGATATAGGAACTGGTGACATCCATAAAGGATATAGGAACTGGTGACATCCATAAAGGATATAGGAACTGGTGACATCCATAAAGGATATAGGAACTGGTGACATCCATAAAGGATATAGGAACTGGTGACATCCATAAAGGATATAGGAACTGGTGACATCCATAAAGGATATAGGAACTGGTGACATCCATAAAGGATATAGGAACTGGTGACATCCATAAAGGATATAGGAACTGGTGACATCCATAAAGGATATAGGAACTGGTGACATCCATAAAGGATATAGGAACTGGTGACATCCATAAAGGATATAGGAACTGGTGACATCCATAAAGGATATAGGAACTGGTGACATCCATAAAGGATATAGGAACTGGTGACATCCATAAAGGATATAGGAACTGGTGACATCCATAAAGGATATAGGAACTGGTGACATCTATGAAGGATATACGAACTGTTGACATCTATAAGGGATATAGGAACTGGTGACATCTATAAAGGATAAAGGACTGGTGATATCCATAAAGGATATAAGAACTG